CTCAACCACAAACATTTAAATTTAAAAAATCATAAAATTATAAATAATAATAAGTTAATTAACAATATTCAACTTAAAATATTTAAATTTATTGGAAAATAAAGTTTTAATTTTACAATTTATCTTGAAACATTATTAGGGAGCTTATGCCCTTTTTTTTATGATGAAATTGCTTTTTCAAGAATATCTTTCACTAAATTATTATATTTACATCCTAGCATCACATCTTTAATATTTTTACTTACACTATCATTTAATTCATAATACTTGGTAATTAGATCAAACCCACATAATTTCTAAAGAAAGAAAAAGAAATTATGATGAGTAAAAACTCAAAATAAGTTCAAAACCATTTGAGTAATGAAAACGAGGTTGAAGAAAATGAATTAATGAAGAGAGTTACTAATAAAAAAATTAATTAAGAATAATAAGTATAATATTTTTAAAAATAATAGTAATTAAAAAAACAAACAAACAAACAAACGAGTCAACCTGTTAACTTGCGGGTTAACCTTAACCCAACTCATGATCTGTATGGGTTGACATTACAGATTATTTACGAGTTGTGGGTTACGAATTTAGATATGTAGACCCTAATCTATTTTTACGGGTTAGGTTAGGGTTGAGTTAATTGGTCAAGTGGATTTTTACCACCCCTATTCATTAGGAATCTTATTGCAAAAGTATTGTTTAGAGTTTCTTATTTATGGATTTGTCTATCTTGTATCTTTATAATTAGTTAATAATTGTGACTCTTTTTCTTGAAAACTGTAAAATTTTGAATTTAAAAAAATAAATTTTGATTTTTAATTCAAAATTTACCAACAAAATACTAACACATAATATTTATAATTAAAAATAATTAAATTTATATTTTAAAATAAAAATTATTATTATACAATAATGACGCATTCTTTTGTGCCCTTAAATTAGCCGTTTATTTATAAAGGAAAATTTTAAGTGACGGAGGATTTTGAGCATTCGGTGTGGTTAACTAAAATGGTTGATAAATTTGGGAAACGATTTAGATGATTTGGTAATGATTTGGACAAGATCTGTTCAAGGAAAGGTTTGCCCATGGACTTTCAAGTATTGGAGTTCAATAATGGTTTGAATTACTTAGATCCCTGTATGGGGTCAAGTGGTTATTTTCATAACGAATCTCCTAATCATATCCATGTTCATAAAAGAAATTTTAGGATGTGTTTAGGATTGTGGTGGAAAGTTCTTTTTATAGTTGTATAATACTTTTAAATATATATGTATTTGATAATTTTTTTTAGATAATTTTTTTTAAATTATAAAAAATCAAAGTAAATTTGTAATAATTTTATATAGAAAATCAAAAATCTTATTTTGGAACTCAATTATATCATAATTTATAATATTTTAATAATTAGAATAAATTTAAAAAACTTAAATTATTAAAAAGTAATAAATATGATCTATTTTAATAATTACATATTTTATAATATTTTTTAAATTTTAATTAATAATTAATAAAATATACTATATTTCATCCATAATACATTTAAAAAATAATTAATTAAAATCTACTATATTTCATCCATAATACATTGAAAAAATATATAAATAACGAAACACTAAAATAATTTTTAGCCATAATAACAATATAATACAATTCAACATAGTTATAATTACAATATTTCACAACAATTTCAAATGCACTGTTAGATAACTTGATATAATTAAAACAATTAATCATTTGAAAAATTATTTCATTTTTTCTTATATTAATTTCTTATGGAAAAATCAAAGTCCTTATCTTAAATTATGTCGTTTTATTTAATTAAAATTTAATTAAAAGTTTAATAATTTATTTTATTAAATATTAATATTTAGATTCAAAAACTGACTGAATTTTTTTAATTTTAAATTAAGATTTTAATTTGAAACATTAATTTTTTTAACATTAGGAACTGATAGGCACAGATCTTTTTATTATTATTATTATTTTTTATCATATTTTATTTAGCAAACTGGGGAAGCCAACAAGTATCCAACGTGAGATGCGAATATGCGATGCCTAGAAGTTATCCGAGAAGTTGTCCGTTCCCTAGGCCTTTTCATTCCAGGTCCAGTGTTAGTCCCGGCCCAA